TGCAGCAATTATTCTAGTGACTATGACAGCTATAAAAATGACTATTACAGTGACAGAAATAGAAGAGCAGAGAATGGAGAGCTGCAGCATCCAAGGAAAGATACTTACAACTCGCATGGCTACTCAAGATACCTTGATAGAGATGTGGATGATTGGAATGACCATAGCTACCCACGCAGCATCTCCTATTTTAACAGTCACGAAAGGATGTCTGAGTTCGACTATATTTCAAGGACAGACCAATATAAAAAGCGGTTTAGAAGCGAATCAAGAGGATACTACAGTTCAAGTGACCAAGCATATTCCAGATATAATAAGGGGAGGCATGCGCCAGCCGATCCAAGCAATACCATAGGAATATTTGGATTCAGCCACTACACGACGGAAGAGGATGTGAGAAAGCTTTTAAAGGACAAAATACCGCATATTGAAGGATATAACTGCAAAGTGATCATAGATGAGAGGACAGGGTTTTGTAGGGGATTCTGCTTTGTTGATTTCAAGTGTTTGGAAGATGCAGTAAATGCCAGGGATATTTTGAATTTTGATAGTTTTCGGGGGCTGGACCTTAAGTGTGATTTTAGCTACAAGCAGAGAGCAGTAGTTCAATGAACTACAAATGCGTAGATATTAGTGTGTGGCAGTATTAGATGGATGCAGAACCATTGCTCCACAATAGAGTTTTTGCAGCAAGCCAAATCTTCGTTACAGCGCTGTTGAGTGATTTGAAAATTTTTGCACACCAACCATCACACATTTATAAACTCAGTAGTACTGTTTAAGATAGGATATGCTTTATTGAACAACAAAACTACATCAGATATGAACAGTTTTGAGCTTTATAACAGGCAAATCGAAGATTGCATCGTTAAAATACCATTTCAGCTTTCTAATTTAATTTACCTAGAAAAAGCTAGATTGGAATGTATTGCTCAGACCATTCAAGCATGGCAATTTGCAGACGAAGTCCATGAGTATCAAATTTTCATTCTTTTAAACTCGCTGCCTGGCATGCTGTGGACTCGCTTGACAAATTCGAGGAATAGAGCAGCATCATCCTTTAGAGGATCATCTTTGTG